ATCAGGCAGGAACATGACATCTTAGGAATAATTGGTAAAGTGGCAGAGAAAATATACAGCAAAAGACTGAAATTTTCAAATATTTATACCCCCTGGCTACAAGATAAACATGCCTTGGCCAGAGTTGCTTTTGCTTCATTAGACATTAGTTTGTACTAAGTGTACCTCATCATGAGAGGAAACAGCATCTCTGTAGCAATGGAAAACAAGATAAGTACTTGCACAGAATCAGCATAATGCTGGTGTGTCAGTATTTCACAGTGTCTCAGTGCACTCATCTCATGCAAGTAGTAGGAGGAAGTAGAAATAAATACAGAAAGAATGTTGCCCAGTATCTCTCTTTTGAGTTCACTGGGAAAATGATGAGATCCACACTAGCGCTGCGCCAGGGTGTCATCATAGATGTTCTCTACTAGTAAGGTCTTGTCTGTACTGAATTCGTTGATAGATTTCTTATTGATTTCAGTAGAATCAAGATGTCCTCCATGTAACAGTAAGAAAAATAAAAGTACTTTCTCGTTTTTGTGCCATGCATTTTTACCTAATCACTGTTACTATTTTTGAATGTTCTTAAAGACAGGAATATTTGAGTGAGAAAATCTCACAGAGTACCTACTTTCCAGTTACTCCAGACTACATAGCTGCTCATTAGATCATGCAAATTTTGAATACTGCTCTATGCTGAAAAATGACTACTGCCCAGACAAGCCACCCCTTAACAGGAGGTAATTACCAGTCTTGGCAGATAAAGCCTATTCTAAATCTAGACAGCACTGTGTTGGGTGGCTCTGCCAGCACTCACACACTTTCGGAAGAGGATCCTTCTACAGGGACCAGGTAGTGGGCTATCAGGATGAGCATCCCAATGGGACTGAATCAGTTCCAGGTACATTTTCTTTCTCATCGAAAAATAGTTACCAAATACAATGGGGTGGGAGTTAGACCTATGAAAGCAAACATGAAAGGAGAGGCTGCTGAAAGACATCAAATGTACCCAGCCTATTCAGTAATAAATGGATATTGGAAAAATTTTTCTAGTTTGAGACACAGGAAGGTTTTACCTGAACATAGACTGATAGCCTTGTAGTTGTGGGTGGGTTTTTGTTATCGTTTTGGTTTATTTTGTTCCTTTCCATTAAAAAATGATGTTTATTTCCATAAAAGATGCTATGTATCTACATTATTTGAGAAGCAGAGCTTCTTTTTAGTGGCAAGAAGACTTCTCTTCTGTTAAATGAAGACAAAGTAGCTTCACTTATTGCTTCACTATCATCATACCTTACTACAGAACTATTATACTGTACTATTAGTACAATTCCAGCCATTCACTCCCCTGGAGCAGATCACATCCTGCCTGTTTTCTGCACAGTTTTCCCCCAGAATCCAGTCTGATTTAAGACATTATAATGGTATGGAAAGAAAGCACCCAAGCACAAACCATCCCCTGATAGCTAAATGTGGAGATTGTGTTTGTAATTTAGTTTATAAAACTATTCCAAAGGCCTGATATCCAGGTCTTTGAAATTTTTCTTGTTTTGTTTGACCTACAAACCACTTTGAGCATCATCTGATTGTTAAAAATGTCTTATGCACTCTATGCAAAACAAGACAAATTTATTTGCCCTTGTCATCAATAATTAATAAAGCAAACATAGGTCTTAAAGAATTAAAATATTTATTTTTCCTATTGTACAGGAAAGGAAAAAAAAAAGAGCCATCAAGATATCAGCGAGATCATTTAATGCACTTCTGGAATGCGTTCAGATAACCATAAAGGCAGAAAGCAGCATGGCCAGGAGTGTGACTGGATCACAAATAGTTCTGCACAACGATCTTGCAATGGTATTAGTTAGTCACTACTATTAGGGAAAACATACTAAAAAATGAACCACATGAAGAATTCCATAACCTCAAAATTCCAGAGACCATGAGAAACTTTGGTGATCATACTGCCCATTACATTCTGCATGTACACAGAGAATGTAGTTGTCACATTTACCAGATAACAATATGGGCTAGACAGAAAAGGACAAAGATACCAGCAAGCCATATTCAGAATTAACTCTTTAATAATAATTGTATACTTCAGAGAGCAGAATGATGTAAGCAACATGGGAATTCCTACCAACTGTGCTTTGTTTAGTTTATTTCACTAAGCATTTGGTTTTTGTTGTCAAAGCATATGAAAACATGAAAAGAATCAATTGTCTATGACTTTTAGGATAGCATCTTTGACAGTGAGTAGGAACCTCCCAGTAGCTCATCCTTTTTTACCAACAATATTGTAATTCAACTTAAGCAGCTGTCTACCTACCATGTTCCAGGTCACCTATAGACAAGACCTACTGTATCAAATGATTGAGCAGAAAAGCCTGTTGCATTATGAATGTTATGACACAACAGTTAGGTGATTTATTAGCTCATTTATCAGAAATAAAAACAAGTATAAGAGCATAAAGAAATGAAGAGATGCATTCACAGTGCTATAAAAACTTACCGAAACACATAAAATGAGAGCTTTCCTTTACTGTCATAATCACTTGTTATAATGTCAAAGAAGTGTGCAGTTTCCGTAACAGGATTTCTTAATAGTAGACTATACATAAACTTTAGCCTCTATAGAGAAATACCTTCTTACTTGAACATAAGGTGCTGGTTGATTAGAGCTATATATACTGAGACAGGCAGATAACAACAGTGTGCTCAGAAGTCTTATGCTCACAGTCTGTTTGCTATGAACGCTTTTCACAACTATATATTTGAAATTATAAGCAAATCTGGCTGTAGAAGGGGTACTATTTCTCTGCTAGCTGCCCATGTGTACATGGGAATGGAGATTACCGGAAGCAAGCAGAATTGAATAAATGATTTTTTCACATAGCTCTGAAGTTTGTATTCATTCTTATTCAATATAGATGAAAGCTCATCTTAATGAAGGAACAATTCTCTAATGCTATAATTATTCTCTTGAAAGAGTGTTTATTTTTGAAGAGCATGGGGGGTTATTTGTTTATTTATTTTTTGGTCAAACATCAAATTCTGCAATATTGAGATTTAAAAAAAAAATACTTAAGATTTGCAATTTGCCTTCTCAGAAAACTCCTATGAAATGCCAATGGGAATATGGTTTGTTTCATATGAAGCAGATGGAAAGATCCCTCTTCTCTACTTTTGAGCCCTCTGACAGCTTGGTGGGAGTTGCTGCAATGCCACCACAGACAGTCAAGGTGATCCTGACATGGTGACAGACACCACAGTCTCATTCCATTCCAGCATTTCCAGTCCAAGTATGGGTTGCCACCGAAAGCACAGTCCCACAGCCTTGGCTCTGCAGCCTCACTGCCACATTGTGCCAACCATAGTGCTCCTGGGGGGACTCCAGGAACTGCTCTGACTGAAATCTCCCTTTTCTTGGTGAATTTTCAGGTAAATCTGTTCTTTTCAAACATAACAATAGACAGGAAGGAACCAAGAACATAGGACCACTGGCAGACTCGGTTTGGAATGATCTAAAGTAGTTGGGACAATACCACATCTTTGATTGTCACTCTTTAACTCTAGTACTACTTTCTGATTGGAAAAGGTCTTCATGAAGAGTTACTTTATCTATCTAGAGCTTCTGTGCCCTTGAGGATGTATCATAGAGGAATTACAGGTGACTTCTCTGTGCTCTACGAGGTACATTCCATCTCTTGTTTCTTGGTTTCACATGAAATCTTTTTTATGTCTCTGTTAGTTTGTCAAGCTCTGTTAGTCTGCTGCAGTGCTCAGTTAGCCCCAGCTCACCAGCTGGTAACACATCTCCATAGTGATTTCTTTGCTGGACTAGCATTACACAGTGCTGCTCATATGCTGCACTTACAGCACTGTTTCGCATTTCCCAAATAGGGAGTACCTTGCATGATGTCTTAATAGCTAGGGTATGACAAAGTGCAGGCACTCACATCTGTCAACACAATGAAAGCAGCTGACTTCAGGAATTCCTGAGCTGTGAATCTTTGAGAATGGGAAGGTGAAGCAGCAAGTATTCATTCCTTCATGCTTGCCTTATTCTTTCTTTCTTGCCTGTGCCAAGGGATAGGCCACTGGGCTAAATGGTGACCCCGAAAAACATTGCTAACTCTCTGGAACCTGAAAGAGCCATCAGCATCAGGACATTTTGTTGCCCACATGCCCACAGTCCTGCTACATTTACAAACGCCTGCCCATTTCACTGAGAGGCTGAGAGTGTAATAAAAAACACAGTACATATTAAAATTGCAGACTACAGCACACTACACAAGAGCATTTTTAGAGAAGAGTTACTATGCATCTTCTGAGCAGGCAGCCCATGGCAGTGGGCACAGCCCCAAGCTGCTGGAGTTTCAAGAAGAATCTGGGCAATGTTCTCAGACATAAGTCTGGGTTTTGGGGATAGCTGCGTGGAGCCAGGAGTTGGGGCTCAATGCCTATGGGTGCCTTCCAATTCAGGTTCCTGTGGTTCTGTGATTCAGTGAAATCATGAAAAATCAGTGGATAAAGCCTCCCTTGTAGGAGCAGGGGTTTGAGGTGAAAGCTGTGGTTCTGGGCTGTGTTCCCTAATTTTTCTTCCAGGCACTTTACTGCTGACAGGTTAACATGGAATACATGTTCAATACAGAACGTGTAAGCGTCCCTCCTCGCCTCAGGCAAGACAGCCATCTCCGTGACAGGTGCCTAGAGATCATCCAAACTCCCTTCGGCCATTTTTCTGTATTCCAGCCTACAGACGGCCGCGCGGGCACCGCTATAGGGCGGATGAACGCAGCACCACTCTCTCGGGGGAGGCGGCAAGAGGACCCGGCCGGCCCGAGCAGCTCGGCGGGCTCTGCTCTAGGGGGCAGCAGCACCCCGCCCGCCGTGGGGCTCTGGGGCGGCCCGGCCCGGCCCGCCGGAGCCCGGAAGGCGCCGCGCTCCCTCCCGTCGGCCGCTGAGTGGCGGCGGCGTGTCACGTGTGCGCGGCCGGGCCGGGCCGGGCCAGGTCGAGGCGCGCTGCCCCGGGCACAGCGTGGCTGGCGGCGCCGGCGCAGCGGTGCGACATGTCCCACCAGACCGGCATCCAAGGTACTGCCCTCTTTCCTTCCCTGCGGGCCGTCCCCGGGTCCCTGTTCCGCAGCGTCGTTCTCCCCGCCGCTTCTTTGTTCGCTCCGAGCTACCCTTTCTCCCGAGGTTACACCCGTAACGGAGCGAAGCGGGAGCTGCCGCACGGCGAGTCGGAGCCCCGCGGGTGACGGTTCTGCGTCTGGCCGCGCCCGGCAGCCTCGGGGCAGCGTGGATCGGGTAGGGTGCGGCTGGAAGGGATCTCCCGCAGAACGCCCGGCGCGGCGCCTAAGGCGTGCCCTGCACACAGGTGTCCTCCGGCGGCCGGACGGGGACCTCCGGCCCCGCGAGGTATCGCCGCAGCGCTGCGGCAGCGCCCAGCTGCCCCGGCTCACTGAGGAACCGCAGCGCTGGAGGAGGACCTTGAAAGAGCCGGAGCTGGGAAGGAGGAATCCCGGCGAGCCCTTGTGACGAGGAAAAAGTACAGGAGAGCCCTTTTTTTCTCAGCGTGTCCAGGCCTTGGAGAACGTGAGGAGCAATTGGAAGACTGCGACGTGCTATTTCTCGGGATTATCGGCCTCGCAGCATCACAGCACTGCTAAGCAGGGATAATGCAGCAGCAGCAGGATTATGGGGTTTGCGGTTTTATTATTTGCTTTCTGCAGCCTCGCTCAGTGACTAATGTGGTGTACTTTGTCTGCTCGTCTGCATTTATGGTTGCAGGTGACTTTTGTCCCGGTCTGGGTTGCTCTTGACTACTCTTCAAACCCCTTTTTGGCTGCTGAATACGTTTGTTCCGCAGCCTGTCACCTCTGTTCTCTTCCTTCCCCCCCCCCCACCCAGTGCCAGCTTGCCATTAAGTTGATGTGGCCACTTGTTTTAAGTTGATTGTCCCTTCCTGGCCTGGGGTGCACCTCAAGCAGTGTTTTTCCACGTTGAGGAATACTGTTCCAGTGGCTCTTAATTCTCTTATGCTCCTCCCTCCAGCCCCAATAATAGGGAAGGCAAGAACACCCTGTTGCTTACCATGACCAAGAATGGCTAAGCCTCTTCTTTGAGAGCCTTTTGTCCTCTGAAGAGAGCTGCAGTGAGCTCAGCTGCTTTCCTGCCCTGATCCTGCCTTGGCAGGCTGGGATGCAGCCCAATTATCCAGGGTCTCATTTGTAGTAAAGCTTCTGCAATTGGAAGAGGGATAGCATTTGTTGTGCCGTTGCTGGCATTAGCAACAAACAGGCTACTGTCACTCATAAACAATCACAAGATTTGGCAGCATGGAGCGCTCTTTTCTGGAAGCAGAAATGAAGTAATGGGGACAGTGATGTGTACCAGGCGAATGTTAAAAGGACGGGGCTTTCAAACAAAGCAGCAAATATAAATAGTTGCAGGGTGCATTGAGCTGTGGGAGATTCACAAGACTATGTTCAACTCTTCCAAATTATTTCAAAAGTGTATTTTTGAAATAAGTCTCATTGCATTTCAGTGTTCCATATTACAGATAAATCACTTTGAAAGTGCAACAGAGTAAGTTGTTGGTGTGTGTGTACGTTTACAGGCTGTTTTACACAGTCATTTGAAGACTGTAACCAGTTTTTATAAAGGGACTGTTCAAATACCAAAGAGTTTACTTAATGCAAATTTGCTCATTGCGGAAGGTAGCATGTTGGTTGCTCTAAAGTAATGCCTATTTATTTCTTTGGAAACTGGAGCAGATAAAAGAGCACTGTAACGCTATTTGATAAAGCAAAACTCTCAGCTACAAAGCTACTTTTCAACATAGTCCCCACTATTAGCTCTGCATTTTGGCCACTGATGAACAAGAGCCTGCGTGCCATGCTCATAAAAATCCGCACCAGCAGAGGTGACCCCTGTAGCTGTTGTCACTGCTGAAATGCACCACTCGCTGCCTCAGTGTGCTCACATCCACTGATTGGTCTCCATAAATGTTCAGCAAGCATTGATGAATGTCAGTGGGTGCAATTTTTTCTGCATGGAGGAATTCAGTTGCATGCTTTTACTTCATACTCACTTCTATGTCAGACATCATCGTGTCAGGCTGCCCTTCTGCTGCCATCTGTCACACAGCAACAGCATGGAATGGAATATTGGTGGGACGGTCCACCATCTACTGCCATATCACCACCATCTACCTCTGGATGGTGTCATGGGCTGACGTAATAAAATAAGAGGCATTACTTAAAGAGCAGACCTCATGCATGTCAGCTTGTCTATCTTAGCTCTGTATGTTGCATCCTTTGAAAAGCGCCTGAGTACAGCAGTGAAACAACAGATAACTTGCACTGCTGGATAGAATAGGGTATGTAGAACTAAGACATATCCCATGTGTTTCTTCCCACATGTACAATGAAGTATTTCCACTACTGAGATATAACTTCTGTAACAAAAGCAGTGATGTATATGGAGAGAATTGACATGTTTATCATCACATGTTTATCATCATGAATGTTTTTTAGAAAAGAAATTAAACTGCAAGTTGGCCAGTGAGATTCCAAGACCAAACTGTAATTGAGGTCTTTGCTCTGCAGAAGGTTTAAATAGAACATTATATTGCTCTGTTGTGAATTTTCTGATCTCTGTATGGAGAGAAAAAAAGCGTATCTCACAGATAGTGAGTCTGTCTCTCGATCACTAACATCTTGTCTCAGAAAATGACTCCAGGAGCTGTTGTGGTTCTGGTGTCAGTGCAAAGGACTGCTGTGTCTCAGTGTTGTTTTGGTGTGCAGGGTTGATACAAGAGTACAAACAGCGAGGGATTGTAGACCTGAAGAGGACAACCATTTCCGGGGGAATTGGGAAGTCAGGAAAGTGGTGTAATGTTTGTGTGCTGAATGGAAGTGCAAGGAAAGGCAGAGATGGTTGGAAAAGCTGATTACAGAGGGTCTGCACTGCTGAGTGGGAAGGTGCTAACTGAGATGAAGGTGGGCTTGGACTGGAAATCCAGCACAGTTCTGCTTGTGTAAATGCCCATGCTTCGTCTCCATCCCCCAGCCCATTGTGGAATTCCAGAATGGACCTGCCCTTTGCTTTCATGGACCTGAGTTTTACATATTTTGAGTATGGGTAGAAATACAGCCAGATGCCGTCTGTTCCTTCGGCCTCATTGTGACTGTAAATAATCCTTTTTCTTTGTTTCCTGGTTTGCTGTTTGTTTTGCGGGTGCTGTCCTCTGTGCTGTGGGATTACTTAAAGGACCAGCTTGCAACAAGTGTTCTTTAGTAAGTGCAGGACAGCCCCCTGTCCGGGGTATAATTAAACTGATCTGCGCACAGATCATTTAGCAAAGCAGTTGAAATTAGAATAACGTCTTCAGGACTCGAGCACGGTTCTTCCTCGTGCTTACAGAAGGGGTCGATCATACTTGTATTGTAATATCAATGTTAATTACAGAGATTTGTGAATTCGTTTAATCTGCCCTATTGTGATGGGTCAGGGATTGGAAAGTGTCATCAAAATGCTTGCAAGGTCATGACTTGATAGAAAAGGTGAATCAAGAGTGTTAGCCTTCCTTGGTACCCTTCAGAGAGGCATCCTTAGGAAAGGCAGGTGATTTTTGCAGACAGGCTCTAACATTTTCCTGGCAGGCATCAAGTTTGTGTCCGCAGGCTTACTGCAAACTTTCAGACTTCATGAAGCTCCTGTAATTGGAGATGCATTGTATTTGTGTTGTGTTACTGTGTGAACTGGGAAACCTGAGAGTGATGATGTGATGTCACCTTGAATTTTCACAATGTTGAAAATGATACGGTATTGCAAGTGAGCAGGGCTCTTTTGCAGATGTTTGTGATGTTGTCTGTGATCTTTCTGTGGCTTGCCTGTGGCTGGAACAGCATTTGACCACTCCTGTGTTCCTTTTTCAGTCCAGCATCATAGTGGTGGGCCAGGCGTATGCTTTTCCAGTGTCGTTTTTACCTTCCTGAGTACTCTTTGTTGTTGGAAAGAAGAATGTGTTAATTTGCGTACTTTTATTTTCTCTTTTTCAGCAAGTGAAAATGTTAAAGACATCTTTGTTGGAGCCAGAAATGGAAAATACAGGATTTTGAAAATAGTCATTGACAATGGTCAGTCAAGTTTTACTATTTTTCCCGTATTCTTTTGGATATTTCCCTAACTATTTCAGTGATTTTCATGTTGAATTATTTAAAAAAACAAGAACGCTTCAAAGCTTAATCTTACCAAGGTCTTTCATATCCTGAAGGTAGAATTTGAGTCTTGGTGATGCTAAATTAGAATTTTTCTTCCAAATATCATTTCATATTCTCCCAAGACCCATTGCTTCTTTCAGAAGTACATTAGTACCCATTACATGCCCACCTCGTTACCTCTTTTTTTTCTTCTTCCCAAAGTTCACTCATTACAATACACTGAAAAACCTGTTAGCTAGAGAAAGGTGTGTGTGTACATGCATACACATACATACGTACATTTATTGTTAGGTAAGTAACTTGCTGTTATATTCTTTATGTTTGCTTCAGTTTTTCCCTGCTTTTCTCAAGGAAGCAACAGTAATATTATAGTGAGATCACTGCAAGTCTCAGCAGCACGGGTTACTAAGTCTTGGCCTGTATTTTTTTATTAGGAAAGTTAAAACAATGTGCTTGTGTGTACATGATACTTCTTAGTACAAAATGAAGGTCATAAGTAGGGAGTGTCTTCCATTTTTATCTTAAACTTTTTTCTCTGTGTGCTTGTGTGTGTGTATATGTATACACAATTTGTCTGTTTGTGGAAGTAGAGACCAGCTTAATTCTGTTTTCCATAGTTCAAAAAGAGGCTTCTAATGCTTCCAGAATGCTGGAAGCAAAATGGTTGCCTCATATGTCTGCAGGAGCTTTCAGCAATGCCCTTAATGAGTAGACAACACTCAAATGGAGTTCTACTAATTTGAGTGAATAAGGGAACTGGTTTGCTGCTGGGCAATATAGTTGCCGTGTTTATTTTTTTGTGTTTGTTTCTTTATTAAATTCAAGTGATTATAAAGCCACCTAGAGCTAAGAATTGCCAAGTACGTTCTGGGTGTCCTGGTTATCTATGTGTATAGCTTCAGCTACTTTGCACCTAATGCAGAGAAGTGCCAAATGCACACTCTCTCTCTCTCTCTGAGCTGTTCATGCTCTGTGCCTTGGAAGACTACTGTGGGAGAGAGCCTTGTCTGAAACATTCTGCAGTTTAAGACTGTTGTACATCTGTCTGAAGTATTAAAGACCAGGTCCAAGGCTCTCAAAAGATACTATGCGTGCCAGCTGCTATGGGCCCTTAAACTGCTGTGGGAACCGTTTAAACAAGGTGTTTCTCCTTTGGCTGTGCGGTCTAATATTTGAAAGTTGGTAAATGTTTTGAAAGATACTGAGTAATATTTTTCTTTAGAAGCTGAGATGTGATTTATATGTGAGCGAGAAATCTTGTTGCTACAGTTGTTCATATAATTAAATCTCATCTGAAGTATTCTTTATGGATTTAAGCCAATTATACATAATAAACAACTTCAGTAATTTAAAGAGACTGCAGTTATGAAGCTGTATTAGTTTATCTACATACATAGTCAAATTAAAGTGATTACTGCAAGCATGTTCATTCCAAACTCTTTTCATTGTGCAGCTGAGTTACTGTCCTTACCATAAGTACAAACATTGGAGTGTGTCAGAAATCAGTAATTCTAATCTTAATTTTTAAAAACCTACTCTCATCTTATTTCTATTAAGTATTTCATTTTAAAAGTAAATGAACTAGCAAAGGGCAGTTTTTATTTCTTCTCTGTACGCATTATGCTAAACACTGATATCAGTCTTACCTCTTCAGATCAAAGAACTTGATGACAGCCAGTGCGCTGCTTCTCAACTAATTGTATTTTGGTTAAAGGAAGTTAGGCTTTATGCATACACAGCTTTTGCAGGAACTCGCTTACTATCACACTGAGTGCTCCTGACTTCCATTCTTGTGGGCATGGTTACAGAATATGAAGTGTTTGATTAATTATCATATATAATAATAATAACTAATTTTGAAAAACACTATCAACTATATATTTGCTAACCTATGGTTTTGGTTATTGGTTTTAGAGCAACTTGTTCTGGGATCCTCTAGGCGGCCACTTGGATCATGGGAAAAGGATTATGATCCTTTCGTTCTTCCTCTTCTTGAAGACAAGCAACCGTGTTACATTTTATACAGATTAGACTCTCAGAATGCTCAAGGATATGAATGGATCTTTATTGCTTGGTCACCTGATCACTCTCCTGTAAGTAGTAGTCACAGAATCATAGAATGGCTTGGAATGGAAGGGAGTTCAAGGATCATCAAGTTCCAACTCCTTGCCACAAGTGGGGTCACCGACTTCCATATCTTATACTAGATCAGACTTACACTAGATCAAGGCCCACCCAACCTGGCCTTGAACACCTCCAGGGACGGGGCATCCACAGCCTCTCTGGGCAGCCTGTTCCAGCACCTCACCACTCATAGCAAAGAACTTCCCCCTGACATCCAACCTAAATCTTCCCTCCTTCAACTTAAAACCATTTCCCCTTGTCCTGCCATTATCTACCCTTTTAAAAGAGTTGACTCCCCTTCTGTTTGTAAGCTCTCTTTAGGTACTGGAAGGCTGCAATGAGGTCACCTCGCATCTTCTCTTCTCCAGGCTGAACAAGCCCAGCTCCCTCAGCCTGTCTTTAGAGGGGAGATGCAAAAGACATATATTTGTAACATTTATTCAACAGTATTGTTCGATCCAAATCCTAGATGAGAAGGATTTGGGGAATGAAGCATTCCCCAGCCTTCATCACACTTTCTGCCAAGGAAACTGTAGAGATATCTTCCTTGAAGCTGATTGTGAGTCTAGATGGAGTGTAGCTGGTCCAACTTATTTCTAGCTTGGTCAGAGGAAAAGCACACATTATCGTGCTTTTCTTTCTGTCAGTGTTCATGGAAATAATAGAAGAACATAGAACAGAAATCCCCATTGGTGTCGTCATAGAGAGAAAGATTATAGTTTGAGCTAAAGCTGCTTATTCTGTTTGGTTTGCTGGCAGACCAGTTGGCATCTGGGAGTCTGTGACCCACCTGAGAATGTCCTCTTTCTTACAGAGCGTGGGAGGAAAGGGAAGTCAGCCTTATCAATTTCTAGGAGAAAGTAGGGTAGTAGCTCCAAGTTCAGTAAATGTGAGATAGGGGAGGACAAAGTAAATCTATTCCCAGATTCCTGCGCTACTTTGGATAGCACTTAGGAAACAGTAGGAGACCAAGAGCTGGAGTGCACAGAAGAAATTGAGTGGAAAAGATTGGGGTATTCTGATGAGGATGGCATGGTGGTGAAATAAGCTGGGGAAAATGGGACTGCGGGGAGAGGAATATGTATGTTGGATGCAAATTGATAGGAAGCAAGCATCATTAGGTCTTGTGCTCTAGAAAATTTCATTTTTCCATTCTGTAGTTGAACTACCAAATCAAAAATAATAAGGGTTATTTGCAGTCTGTTCTTTCTGTGATGTATCACATTACAATAGACAGACTGGTGACAAATGATCTAATCTGTTGTGTTTATTTTTTCCTAAACAGAAGTAGTAAGGATTGTGTTCTGTTCTGTTTTGTGGGTTTTTTTTAAATTATTATTATATTTTTAAAGCTCCTGCTCTAATTAAAGCTGCAGTTTGGCTTAGAAATTAGTTTAATAATGATGCATAGTCAAATGTCTTACTGTGCACTTGAGAATTTAACACATATATTAGCATCACGCTCCAGAACTCATTCTGTTCTGTTATTAAGAAATGCAGTTTCAGACTGCACTTTCAAGTCTTAAAATATTTGTTCAAGAAGGGCTGTTTATGGACTTGATACCCCAAAATGCTGTTGTTGTACACCTGAGCTGTGTACACTACATAGAAGAAAGAATTAAACAAACCCCTGTTTTATGATATATCAGGTTCGTCAAAAGATGTTGTATGCAGCAACCCGGGCAACACTTAAGAAAGAATTTGGAGGTGGTCATATTAAGGATGAAGTATTTGGAACAGCAGAGGTATGTTCTCAGGAATGCTAATTATATTAGATGATTTTACTGGTATTAATTTGTGGTGATGTTGCTCTATTTGATGAAGGAAACAGGGGGTTGAAAATTTTGTATGTTATTCAAACATTAAAATGTAATAACTCTCATTTGAAAAAGTAATTATATTTAACAAGTCAAGATTAAGATGTCCTTCTTTCAAATGGGTATTAAATCACCCATGACTAACAGTACAGTCTTTTAATCTTACTGCATGTTTATGAATCCTTCAAAAGCTGTAACCATTAAAACTTCCAGCCTAGTTGTTTACAGAAGCCATTGTGGATGTAGGGGTCTGAATCACATGGGCTACAACAGCTATTAGTGAGACTTTGGCAAATGAAAGCAAACTTTTTTATCTTAAACCAAGGGCATGAAGTTGTCTGTTCTTTAAAATTTGACTGTGAAAGTGGACTCAAGTCCATAGTTGCCATCTTAATTTATGGAATAAGAATTTTAGTAGCTAGCAATTTGTCAGTGAAAATGCTAATAGCTGTGTGTTCAGTTATGATAAGATAGTTCCAAGGTGCATGCATAAAGAGGTCTGAATAACTTCATGTATACCTCTGTTTTCACAAAGACTTATTTTTGAATTAGTGAGGTAATTATGGGCTGACTGGAAGTGCTGCCCACTGTACAGTTGGATATAAGAGCAGCCCAGGGAATCCTGCTGTTCAGGATGCCAAGTAGAGCTTGCAAATGCACGTAGACTTGTAGTCTCTGTTTGAATAAAATGAATGTAAATATATGGGAAATAACTGCTGCATGAACTGTGTTAGAAAAAATACTTCAGTTCTGCAAATGATGAGTACTGATACTGTGCTTTCAGGATGATGTTTCACTGAACGGATATAAAAAATATTTGATATCACAGTCCGCCCCTGCACCTCTGACTGCAGCAGAAGAGGAGCTTCGACAAATTAAGATTAATGAGGTACCTACAGCAACTTTCAGCATGGTTCGGCCATTGGATGCACAGTTCCTGATGTATTATAGGCAGAGGCTTTTCCAGAGTAAAAAAGGCAGAACAGAAAATCAAAAACTTCAGTAAGTTTTTGAGTGGATGAGAATATAAATGTCTCACTCAGTGAGTAGGGACAGCAGGATGCTGATGGCTGGAGACAGAGCAGTGTGATCTTGCTGAGCTTGCAAGGGCCAGTGGCTTTGTCGCAGGCCTGCTGCCTAACATGCTTTTAATACCAGTGGATGTGCTTCTGTGTGAGGGTTACCAACCAGTGGCACAGGTTGCCCTGAGTGTCTGTGCAGTTCCCTCATGGGAAATCTTCAAAAGCTGCCTGGAGTGTGGGTGTGGGTACCCTGCTCTGTCTGGGTGGTCCTCCTTGGGCTGGGGGTTGGACGAGGGCACTTTCAGAGATCAGCCACAAATACTCTCTGGTAGCCCACATTTCACATGGTGGCAGAAACTGTAGAAAAAAAACAAAATAGCAACTGTTACAGTGAGTAATTCCGAAGAATATTTCAGCAGCCATTATCTGAGCTTCCAGAACCAGTTCACTTGTCTTTAAGACTTGGAAGAAATAAGACAAAGTTCAATAAAAGTAAAAACAGAAACCCAAAAGAACTAACCATTTCTTTTAAAAATATCCATTCGCTTTTCCCACAAATGCTTTATGGAAAGACTATTAGCATGTGCCTTTAAACAAGTAATGGGATGATCAATTGCTGTTTAGCCAATGACTGAAATGTTTCAGAGGATTCTCTTCTCAATTTTTCCATCATTTAACCTATGTTTGCATTCAGACATGTCTTAATAGATCTTGTGTTGATCTTATGAGTTCTTCAGCCTTATTTTACAGCCATTGTTCACATGTTTGAAATGTGGCATGTTTTTCCCACTGGATGCCAGCAAGCTATCATGTTAAAAACAGCTCTTTATCTTCCCTAAAATTTTCACTCCCTAGTATGCTTTTGCTGTAACAGTGTTGTTTTTTTTAACATTTATTTCTTTGATGTCTTTGCTTTCCAGATCTATTTTTGATTAATTCAGTGTAGAAATATGCTCATAGTTACCAAACACTTCATTTTAGTTGATTAGCTTTAGGCAAAACAACAACAACAAAAAAAACAAACCAAACCAAAACAAACATTAAAAAATGTAAAACTTCCATGGTATCAATGACCACTTACTTCTGATGTCATTGTTGTCTTTTATGCCCTATGTGCATGTTGTGTAACAGCCAATTCACGCTGACTAATAGTTCATGTTCTGTAATGAAACTTCAGGTTGATGGTTGGACTTGATGATCTCAGTGGTGTTTTTCAACCATACTGATTCTATTATTCAGCAGCAATAGCAGTGCTTCTCAAGGATGCATTAACTGTATGTTGCTGCCTTTTTGGCTTCATTTGGAACATCTTGAAGTATGTTGTGTCATTTGTATCTTTGTTATTTCTGTCAGTATGAAACCTGTGGTTAGGCTCAGTGGAGCAGTATTTCATTAACTTTCATGCTTTAGCTTCCACAAACAAAAAGCTTTCTGATATTAAGGGAATGTATGTGTTTAAAAACTGTTTGGATGTCCCTGGTGCTCAGGGACATGATTTAGCAGAGGGTTGTTAAAGTTAGGGTAGTATGGTCAGGTTGAGGTTGGACTTTTGACAGTCTTGAAGGTCTTTTCCAAGCTGAGCAATTCTATGATTAAAAATAAAAAAATGGATTTTCTACTTTTTATGTTCTTTCATAATTACCTAAGAAATATTTGAATTAATCAGATCAAAGGTTTACCTTACTGCTGCCAAGACACTGAGTGAGCAACAGCAGGAATCTGGGAGGGGTGTAAGAGCAAGATAAGAAGGGCGTGATAATTCCTTTGAATATTCTTTGGGGTCTGGACTCGATGATCTCTTGTGGTCCCTTCCAACCCCTGCAATTCTCTCATTGCCTCAGCCTTTGCAGATAGGACTCTTCCAAAGCAACATATGATGTTTTACTATATGCTTTTTTTTTTTTCCCATCCATCATGCACAGTCCTGTCATTGTTCTAAATCCTCATAAAGTTTTGTTGGCCACAGATCCTATAGCAGTGTTATTACAGCTTGGCAAAGTACTACGTAAAGAACTGCTGCCTGCTATCTATGAACTCATACCCTGACAGACAGCATGGGGAAGGCAGAGAAAAGCCATTCCTCACTTTTTTCCCCTCACTCTCCACTATATCCACAAGACCTCTGCATTCCTTACCAGTTCTCTCTTCTGGGCTGAAAAGTCCTCATCTGTGTACTTTTTCCTCCTGAAGTAGGCATGGCACACTTCTGATCCTTCTGCTTTTCTCTGCAGTTTTTCCAGTTCTTCTATAAAATTTATGAAAAGGAGGGGTGGAGAAATCAGAACTGCATGTGGTATTCAAGATACAGGCATGTTACTGATAGCTGAACTGTGTAATGATGTATTCTGTACTCTTAACGACTTCTAACATTTCATTTGTTGGTGGGTGGTGCCTTGATTGCTTGGTTGATTTTTGCCTAAAGTAACCACTGGGCTGACATTTTCAGATAAATATTCAGATAAATATACTGAATGTCAGTAGCTAGTTCATCACCATGCAGGTAGAAGAAAGGTATTTTTCCTCCTGCATATAATGTTTTACATGTACCCACATCAAATTCCATCTGCCACTTTATTACCTCCTTGGCAGCCATCACTAACAAATGTGATGGTATGATTTAGGTCTTTGTAAGTGACTTGGATGTTCTGTTTAGCTTTAGTGGACTTATATATGTTATGTCATGGACAAGCAGATTTGGTTCCTTCTCCTAAATCTAGTGTTATGCTGGGTTATTTTCTTCTTGTCCCCAGACTTCGTAGCTGGCTTTTCTAGTTTTTAATGTTTTTACTACATTTTGTTCTGTGATGCCAATTTAATAACATTTATTAGTCAGATTTTATGCAGATATATATATTTTGCAAATATTTGTCATACGATTGTATTATGAAATTTACTAAAATTAATACAAAAGTAAACTCTTCTGCCTACCTGATTTCACATTCTCCTTCCCTGATGCTGAGAAGCTGTCCTTTAAAATATGAAGTACAATTTAGTATTGCCCCAAGTATCTTTGTTTTTCATTATTTTCATCATTGTTGAATATTTCACTATCTGAACATCTTTCAGCTGATAGATCTAAAACCTACACTTTCTATTTTGTATGCTTTTCTGTCTTCTTAACTGCCTCATCACAAATGTTACGTATGTTTGTAAAATTGTAAAAGGAAGTCAGTACATTCAAAAGCTAATACTTGCACAAAAAGATGAGGTTTGGCAATGCTGGAGGCCAGAGCTCATTTTCAGAGAAATTGTGCATGAATATTAAGATATGCCACACAAATTCTTGAGAAGTGTCTTTAAAACAGCTGTCCTTTTATCTCAAATAGTTTTTGTGTCTACGATAACTAGAGTATGAACAACTGTCTAGCTTGCAGTTACCATAGGTTTTTGCACTCTGTGTTAAACCTAGAAGTCAAAAATCAAAGCTCTGCTTGTTTATCTGTTTGCTTTCTTTTGGATAGGCTTTTTGAAGGAGGATGCTGAAGTGGAAGGGAGGGAGGGAAGGTGCTTCTTTTTTTTCCTTCAAGAAGATCAGTCTCTCTAAGACATGTTTTTTCTCCATTCTTTCCAGAATGTTGGCTTCCTATAATCACATTTTCCTATTCTTGTCTAAAACGTATCACGATAAAGTTCAGGAACAACACTGTGAGTTCAGAAGTACAGTGCAGCACAGGAAAATCAGACTCTTTGCTCCTGGCTTATTCTATGTTTGTACTAGAGTTTAGCTAGATCTTCACTGACACTTAGGCAGTTCTCTCTTGTAATTCCATGGGTTCTGCTGCTTCATATATGAAACTGTTTTCAGGTAAGCAAGCAAATGTGACCTGTTAGTTAAAAACAAAACAACAAGTTGTTCGTATAAGGGGACTGATGGTTTGGCGTAGCATATTCTTGTAATAGCTGCTGACAGCTCTGTGTGTAACCACATGCAGTGCATTCTCAGAAACCAAATGAATGCCTGCAAAGGTTTCTGTTCATATTTTCATTGGCTTGTGTTCCAGGTACAAACGGATGTTGGTGTAGATACTAAGCATCAAACTCTGCAAGGAGTAGCGTTCCCTATTGCTAAGGAAGCTATTCAGGCTCTGGAGAAATTGAGAAATAAGGAACTCAATTACGTGCAGCTGGCAAGTATAAGATACTTCAGATCATTTTTAATAATAGGTACTAAATACTTGCACACCAAACAATGTGTGTTGATGCCATATACTGATAAGTTACCATTCTGTACTTGAAATCTTTTTTTTCTACCCTGTCATACTCTCTCGCTTGTTTTCTGTGTATTAACTGTATGCCATTTTTCTTCATTAACAGCAAATTGATATGAAAAATGAAACTATTATTCTAGCCAACACATTTCATACTGAACTTAAGGACTTGCCAAAAAGAATTCCAAAGGATGCTGCACGTTACCACTTTTTCCTGTATAAGCATACTCACGAAGGAGACTATTTGGAATCCATAGGTATGGGGAAATTTCCCAACATGAAATGTTGTTGGTTTGTTTCAAATACTTCCATAACCTTGAGGCAGAGAAAGACGCATCATAAAAGCAGATAACTTGGAGTGTCTGACCTCTCATTGTATTCATAAATTTCAAAGTCACTTGGTTGCCAGACTGATTTCTGAAGAGTCTTTATATTTAGAAAGTAGTGAACTATTCCTTTTGATTATAAGCAACACACAGATCGGTAGTCATGTGAAAAAATAAAGATACTTCCTTTTAGGAATGAAACACTTACTGAAGTAAAATGCACAAAACCACATTCTGGGTGTTTTAGCTTTCATACTATAAAGTTGATTCGCACAGTCTTTCTGCTGTAAATGATTCTGTGATACAGGTTTTGATAAGGTTTATTTTTGTTCTGCTTTTTTTTCCCCTGCAGTTTTCATTTACTCCATGCCAGGGTATACTTGTAGTATACGGGAGCGAATGCTATACTCTAGTTGCAAAAGTCCACTTCTAGAAATTGTAGAAAGACAGTTGTGGATGCAAATAATTCGAAAGGTGAGTACACTGGGAATACGCCATCCCTCAATTCCCTTTTTAATATCTAACCATAATTGTTTCTGCCACCACTTTCTGTAAACAATGAAAGGTGCTGTATGGCTATTAAAGACCTATTTAAGAGCTTGTTCTGAACAAGAAATACTTATTAACTAAGGTTCATAATTTCTACGTAGTTTTAGTAAACCTGTTCTCGTGCGAGAAGGTCTTTGAAAGTACTCTGAAGGACTATTCAGAAGTAACATGATTTCTTACTAAAAGGCCTGTCATTCTTCAGATCACAGCACATTATTGCTGAACTCTGAATTCCTTTAAGGCCAAGGTTTCGTAATGATTTTCAAAATGAAGGAAAAAGGAAGCAGCAGTTCTGGAACTTAAACTGACTCTTAGGAGCCTTTGATGGGTAATTAAGGACTTAGGAGAATGCTGGTCTTTCCAGTTGCAAAGATTATAGTACTGTGCATAAAGAACAAGTGGCTTCTCACTTCTAGAGCAGAGACCACAATAACGGTCCATGTAAATGTGAAATATGTGACCTGTTAATATTTCTATTCTAAGTTCAGAATAATTTTGAGGTTTGGTTTCTGATAATTGTCTACCTGAAAGAAGTTGTTACCGTGATGATGTAGCTTGAGTACATACAATTGCTGCATGGTTTTATATATCATTCCTCACAAATTTCTTCATTAGAATGAGACAAATGTACTACGTGGTGCCTGAAATTCCTGTAGACCTCTTTCTGAGGCATGTACTTCAATGGCAATACAGTGGCTGGCAAGTGCTATAGTTAGGGGGCCGTGAAATGCTGAATGCTCACATGCAGTGCCAAAGCATTTGTCTGAACTCTGAATTTGTTGTAATTAAAAACTGGGCCTTGGCTTCAAAACAGTGTTTTCTTCAGGTTTACATTCTTCCACTTAAAACAAAACAAACAAAGAAAAATCTCAGGCTCTTTGTTAATTAAATTTGTTCTATCTTTTCTCTGGCATGAATACTTGCTGAGTTGCAGTACTCCACTAATTGTGTGAGTTGTTTGTACTCTCACTTTTGTTCTCAAGAGACAGCAACATATATGCACATTGCTTTTACAATTTTTTAATGCACTTTATAGTGGAAAAAAAATTCTGAAAGTGTGAAGATCACATTGTGGAACTATTTGTTTTTGCTTTCGAAGGGAGAAGAAATAAAAGAAATTACCAGTTCTGAAAGATGCTGCTCTCTTTTATTATAAAGGAGATTTCTAACAAAGGACTAATAAGCACTTGCTTTTACATGGAATGTGTACTCTTATTTATTATTATGTACACTGTGCTAAAGCTTGGGGCAGGAGAAGTTACTTGGTGTATGCATTTCTGCTTTTATTGAAGGAAGAGCTAATTAAATCAAAATGCACTTAACTCGATACTGGTTAGAGTATAAGAAAAGCTATTCAAGAGGAGGTGAAGTGCTTAGGCACAAGGTAGGGAACATCATGCTGGACTCTGACTATTATTGCACATATTGGTTTTCATATAGCATTTACAGCTTCAGCAGAATTTCTGCATTTTATTAAATACATCTTTAAGATGAATGTAACTTTTTTTTTTCAGATTGAAATAGATAATGGCGATGAGTTAACTGCTGACTTCCTTTATGAAGAGGTTCATCCAAAACAACATGCACATAAGCAAAGTTTTGCTAAACCAAAAGGTCCTGCGGGGAAGAGAGGAATAAGAAGACTCATCAGAGGCCCAGCAGAGACTGAAACACCCAGTGATTAGAAACTGTTGTTTGCATTAATGATAGGGTTTTACAGTAAGAAAAAATGAAATCCTGACTTTTGCCAATGAACTGACACCATTCCATTTATAGATGCTAGAGAAAAAAATGTTAAAAATATTCTTTCTACTCTCCCCTCTTCTGAACTCAGTACTTCCTTTGTTGTTACACAATTATATTTGTTGACCATATTTTACAACACCTGGAAGTGTTAATTATTTTAAAGGTAGAAAACTAAGCTAGTACTCTTTTGTTTTAAATTAGAATCCATTATTTAATAGCAATACACGTGATCATAAACTTCACAGACAAGACTATTAAGCCCACATTTTCTGTGGGTAAGTAGCAGCTGTATGTGTAGATAATGAACCTGCATTTGTACGAGTAGCCTACTGAAATCTGCAAGATTTCACTTGTATGAAGAGTTGAAGCTGTCATTGTCCCAGATAAATCTTTATTTTACCTGGTAACTTTCATGGACAGTAATGCAACAGAATGTTTTCTTCTGTTTTTTGATGTGATGGATTGTTGGGTTTGGGTTTTTATACTACAAAGATTAAAGTCCATTATCTGTTAGTTTATGCAAGTACTTGTTCAGGAATAGATTATTTTTATTTTTTCCTGTGCAAAAGGTGGTCATTTCAAATTTACAACTAATTGGGTGGGCTTGTCTCTTAAAGAAATCTGACATGAAACCACTACAGCTTTTCCAGACTTAGATACCACTCATCAGCCTTATATATTACTGAATGACCAAGTCTAATGTGATAAAATATGCAGTCACTAAACTCAGTAAATTATGGAGCTGCTTTCAAAGCAATAAGCTTAAGGTTTCTTCCAAATCATTGATTTTCTGTGCACTTGGATCTAAAACTGCAAATTCAGTGAAAATGGGAATAGACTTGCTTCGTAATGCTGACTTACTGAGATCCTGGTGTCATTGCATTATCAACTGCAACTTGAACTTTCAGGTTATTGTTTGAACTTTCATAGTAAATTAAATCTTAAGCAAAATCCAACTAGGTCTTTGCCTGGCACCAGGGTAGCATTTTGTGGAATTTGTCTATTTTTTCTGCTTCTCATCTAAACACTGAAATCAGCCAGGATAATTGAACTGCAGCGAACCATGAGTCATCTGTTTATTAGGAAGAGGAAATAATAGATGATTTTAACAAGGAGGTTAAAGAAGAAATAGATGTAGAAATCAAATGACCTTAAACATTTTAAAATTGTGTGATGAGGCAAGTTCTAAAGGATAGATTATGTTCCCCAGTGGGGACTTGCTTGTTAGTGTCTTGTATTGAGCTTTGTATTTTTGATTATTTCTTAAAACTAATGGGAGTTGCAAGTCTTGGATCACTGCATATAGGTGTTGGCTGTACACTTAGATATCTGAATCATTTGTTTACCTAATGGAAGGTAGATCTTAGAATAGTTCTGTAAGGAAATAAGGCTTAAACACTACTAGTTCCTGACGAAAACAATTTTTATCTCACGCTATTACGCCGCTTGGTGATCCTAACTTGTTAGTGACATTTGAAATTGCACTGTGTAATATGAAGTGCAATACTTGCTAGTTTTATGGTGTTTTTTTTTTTTCTATATGCAGTAGAGATCTGACACCTCAGCTTTTTCATTTAATCTTATACACTACATCAGCCCAATTCAGTAGCTCCTGATGATCCTCAGCTCATCTCCCGCCCTCAGCTGCTGTTCCTTTTCTGCCTCTTGCCTTTCCCTTTAGGGCAAGGAGCGGTCTGAGGAATTTTTCTTCTTGTGTACATGTCACACAAGCATCATTGTTCTTAAACATTGTTAATGTGTATGCAGCTTGCACACTGTAACTACGTTTATTTCTAGTTGAAATCTAAATCCTATCAGCACCAAATTCCTTTTTTTTTTTTTTTATAAGGTAAACATGTGGCTGTAGCAGTTTAAAAATGACTTTGAGAGGGCTTTTAGTTTGAATTTAATAGTCCTGTCTGCATCTCAGCCATAAGAAGTGCACATACATTTTTACCCTCATTTGAGCTTAGCTTCTTAATATGAAATATTTTGAATAAGGAACAGTTTGGCCGGATATGCTCATATGCAGGTTGTGGGGTTGTTTTTTTCATCCCTTAATCCTGCCCTGGGTTAGCGAGGGTAGGAAGTAGAAAGCTTAATCTGGAGGATGGCCAGAGCTGGTTAAGTGATTACACGAACGAGTTTCTAATGAGCTGCTGTACAGTTCAACCCAAAGCAGACAATAAGTTATTCTACTAACTTCAAAATATTTCATGCTGTCGTACAGCCAGCCAGCAGAGTGATGTCCTGAGTGTATTCCCCTCTCCTTTTTCCATAAAAGAGAAAGCTTGCAAACAGTTATCTTTAAATTATATGAAGTCTTGCACTGCCAGCTGCCTCTCTTGGCCCCTTGTAGCTTTTCTCCTGACAAAGCAATAAGCATCTTTCTTACAGAAAGATCTACCATGTTTACATCTGCATAGTTGCCTCACATAACACTGCTATTGTTAAAGAACAGTCAGAGCCAGCACAAAGTGAGGGCATTAAGAAAAGTTATTCTGTAAACTCTCTGGTCATTTCATAATTGAAAGTGTCCATTCAGAATTGTTGTTGGCCTTCATAAATGCCCCACAGCAATGCAGCTGCTTGCACTTAATTCATAAGCTATTTAATAGCTGCTAATTAACGTGACAGGTAATTATTTTTGAAATGTTTATGTTGCCAAGTAGGGAGAAATTGATCTAATAAACTTCCTGTCAAGGGTCTGTAAAACTAATCAAAGTAATAATTGCTCTATCATACAGATAAACACACTGATAAAGGAAACTTTTGATTTACTGTGTCTGTGTATTCAATGAAAAACACCTTCAGGTGTTGAAATTACCTATTTTGTAATCTACTTTATAAATAAAGATTGATGCTTTAGTTGGTGTTTGAATCATTTTGTGTTTTGTCTCTTACGAAGATCTAGAGGTGAACATCATGATGTATAAGTAACAGTAGTTTGCTTCTCATCTTTCTATTGCCCTCAGAGAACATTCAGTGTTCTAGCTTTTTCTTTTGACGTATCCCCATGGGGAAGTGCACGATGTGGCAATTGGGTGGTGAGAGAAGGAAAGTTTCAGATGCTTTGAATTAGGAATTGAGACAGTACTTTTAATGCAAAGGTAATACAAAAAAAAAAAAAAAAAACAAAACAACCCAGCTACTTTTCTAACAGGAACAACAGAAGAGGAAGCTCAGTGCTGTGTGAGCATGAATATCATGGACTTATCTGTATTTCATCCACTGACCAAAAGGCAACTCAGCCCAAATACAAAGATGAGATGATTCTTCACATTTCCATACAAATAAGAAATACAGTGGCTGATGAAAATTGTGTAGGCTCAAAAGAAGCTGGACAAAGAAGAGATAAAATCTGATAGAGGTGGAACAAGCAATGAAGACCTTGAATCTTTCTCAAAAAGTTAATGAGCTGCAACCCACAAAACCATAATGCTCCACTGAAGCAGCACTGCCTGCACACTGTCTGTCACAGTCACCTGTCCCTCAGCAGCCACTACTGGCTCATGTCCCAACCACTTGTGGCTGTGCAGACCCCTGTGACCCACAGCACACTTCCTAGCATCTCTGGCTGTTGCCAAGGAGAGAACTGTTGCCCTTCATATATATACATGGCAACAACATGGATGTATTTTAGCCCTTCAGCAGTAAGAAACAGAAAAAAAATCTAGTAAGAAACCTTCAAGTAACAGCAAGAAGAGTTGTTTAAAGAATTACTTAAACAGATTTTATTCTCATTTCCAGCAGTTTTTTTTTTTCTCCTTCCAGCATTTGAGGTCCAGAAAATACATTACGTGAAGACAACCTCTTTCACTGAGTAGCTGAGCAGTAGCCTGCTGGTCCAAAGTATCTAGAATCTTATTCACTTCATTCAATTTTGAAACTGCTTTGATATGTCAATCTTTAAATAAAGCCATACAAACAGAAAACACCCAAACAAAAACAAAAACCCCCAAACACGAAAAGCTTTCTGCAGTAATTTTATGTATTTTTATACTTCATTAATATACATACATGTAAGAGCTTAATGATTTGACTAAGGAGAATGCAGAATTAGTCCTAACATTTGACTCCTTCAACAAAATAAACCATCAATATTTGCAATGTCTCGCATGGACTCTTCTCCTGACACATAAAAGAAGAAGTAACTAAGTCTTCCTATGAACAGTGATTAAAAGGTTCACCAGCAGAGCTCACCAGAAGAAAGCCACACATTTCTGCATTTGCACTGTGATGTAATTGCTCTGCCTGCAAAACCTCGAAACCTAAGAGATGTTCTGCAGCACTTATTTGAATGAAACAAGCCCTGAGAAGGCTTTCTAAAAAATAGTCACATTCATGTGTGTCACCAGTTTGTTCACACTACTATGAACTCTCAAGCTAAAATGCTAAGTTTGTTTTAATGTGGGTACTGCTATTGCCTTCTGCCAACAAGATAACACAAGTGCCATTTACGTCTACTAAACGTTTTTGTGTTCAGTAAAGAAAGGTCTAGGAGGTCTTCTCAAGAAAAAAAATTGCAGAAAAACATCCACCTTGTTACTACCACATTGCTTTGCTGAAGATACTTGATATGTGGCAAGGAGAAGTCAGAGAGATGGTAATACAGAAATGTGCTTAAAAACCTCTTAGAGGCTGTATCAGCAAGGCAGTTTGTTTATACCAAAAGAAAAGAAAAAAGGCTTTCTCATGCTGAAGGTCCTGTGGCTATAGATGTATGAAAAGGTGCCCAGTTAGTAAAAAGAAATAAAAAAATAAAAAATAGTGCAGTGACAAGACACCTGCATGTCTTATATGTGGACCAGAAAGTTCTGGGAAGCAGAAAGGCTGATCATGTCACAGTAAGTGCTAATACAATTCTCTACTTGCTCCTGGTCTGCACTCCATTTAGACAACAGGTGTATCAGAAATGCATGTCACGTTTTTATCTCTTGTAAATACTGCTGGACCTGCAAGAGAACAGCGAGAAGTACAAGTAACTGATACCATAGCTACAAACACCAATGGCTAAAAATAAGGCTTCAATCTGACAGGCTACATACCATCTGAATGTTTGGCCTCCTGTTTTTTTTCTCATTCAGACACTGATCAGCAAGTGAATACATCTTATGAACTGAAGCTGCATCCCAGTCACTCATCTTTACATCAACATAATCCTCTATTGTCGCCTCCTCATCCTCAATTTCATCCTTGATACTTAACTACAAGAGAATTGCAACCAATGAGCAGAGAATACCGTAAGCATCTGAAGATCATAGATTCCACACAAACACTTTCACAACTTGCTTTTCACTTCTCTTCATTTTTTCTATCGCTTTTCTAGACAAAGAATTACAATGGTTGGGTAGCAGAATTATTCATCAGTATCTACCAAAACAACTTACAAGACTATAATGTGTAATAAAAACTTGTCAGTTTTTGAAGCTAAGGATGCCATATTGTCTCACACTGCACACTCCTTGTGCTCCCAAAAGGACATTAGAATAAACAGGTACCAATCAAATCAGAATCTAAAATGGAGTATAAAGTCTACCTTGTGAAAAAAAAAAAGCCTGCTTTTAAAAAAGAAGATAAAGAAAGGAAAGAGAAAAGCTCAAGGATTGTATCTGACAAGGATTTGAGTTCTCCAAGGTCATCACAGTTTAGAAGGATAAATATTATGCCACTCCAGAAGATACAGCTTAGAGAAAGTACTCTATTAATAGTACACAGGTATTCCTAAAGCTGTGTATGTGTAAGAGGGTGATCAGCTATCCAGTGGTGTGGAACAAAACCAAACCAAAACTCAGTGCTATTTCATATCTAGTAAACAACTAAGTCTCTATATGGAAAATCCTGGATTAAGCAACTTGAAATTTAAACTAAATGAAAGGCTAAATTAAGAGAAAGTTTATAAAATTTGTAATTGGAAAGAGTAAGCTCAGAGATAGAGTTTCCAAATTAGCAGGCTGAATTTCTAATTGAATATTAAAACCAAAACATCCCCAAATAGCCCTTACATTTCCAACTTCCCTAGGGCCAAAAACTAAGGTACTTGCAAATAACTAGGAAAGTTGAAGAGGATGGAAAATGATGCAGGGCTAGTAAGAAGCATGAAGAACTGAAGAATCAACTGAGATGAATACTTCAAAATGTTCTGGTGAACGAGGAACTATCAGGGTATCTGGTAAAACAAGGGTATGCTGGTAAAGCAAAATAGCATTGCAACAAGAAACAGTATCAGAACAAGGAGAAATACAGTACAGATTGGAAGGAGATGACCGTGGGCACTGGACACTTTCCTATCAGCTAAGAGAAAATTTACATAACTATTCATTAAGAGATGTAATTTGCTCCTCTCACCACCTGTGAACTGACGACTATTTTATATGAAATGATCCTGGAGGGAGGAAGAAAGCAGAAAAATAAAAATACCAGCAACTGTGGCTCCCGGTTTTCATCTACTGGTGGCAAACCTGTTATTACTTCTAGTAAGACCTAGAAGAAAAAAAAATAAATCAGAAGAGAATACATTAATCCTCAACGTAGAGACTGTTCAAAGAATCAGAAGAGGAACATGATCCTCAGCCTTTCACACAAATGCTCACAGGATCAGTAGCTGTCCCACTGCACTGCCCACTACACAACTGATTGCTTTTGCTGTCCCAGGCCTTCTTCTCACCATCTGCTATTAGCAGCGATGTTTGGCACCTTTCCACATCCTACAACTGTGGTGCCTCTAAACAAGATGGAAGAATTTCCCAGATACTCAGATACAGTATTTGGCCTACATCCCCATGGAACTAAATGCCACAAAGAAGGGAGTGGATTCATTTGTCTCCCAGATAGCAAGCAGTTGTTTGGGTTTTTCTGACTGGCTATTCAGTACTCAGCTTTCAGTCAAATCCCACACTGACACCTTCCATTTGGTGATGAAACTCACTTTGGATTGTTTTCTTTAACATTTTCAATCACCTCTGTGTGAAATACTATGGAAGAAGTAGAAATGTTTTATGTTAATTTAAGCTTGCTAGAAGTTGAAATGTTATTTTTCTCTGGTCTTCCACGCACAAATTCACATTTTAAGATAAGCACAGCAAGCATTAGCAGGTGCAACATTTTAATCAACATATTTAAATGCTTTTAAACCACTCCAAGAGTAGAAACACTATTTAAGTGCACATGCACAGGGAGTAGGAGAAATAATAGATCAAAGTGGATTGCTTAATTTCAAACACTCTTGATTTTGTACCCTTCTATCAACATTAAATCAATCAATACAAAAATGCAATCGCATACAGCTCCCCTCATTCTACTTACTACCCCAAAGCTGAAGATATCAGATTTAGGAGTTATTTCTCCTCGCAGAGCTTCAGGTGCCATATAGGCTGCTGTTCCCACAACTCTGTCTGTCATGATGGTTCGTGTGAACGTTACTGATGCTCTTGCAAGTCCGAAGTCCGAAATTTTGGGCACGTACGTCTCAGTCAATAAGATATTTGCACTGGTGAAGAGGGGAGAAAAATGAAAAGAGTTTTCCAAAACAGTATCTGGATTTTAATACAGACTAACAACTCTTTAGTAACCAAATGCAAACTGCTATTCTGAGTGTTTCTAGGAATAACAGATCACCCCAACAAAACACAAAAGAAAAACACAGCAAAATTGAGTAGCGGAGCATGCTGGAATTCTTAACCGTTAGACCTCTACTCAGAACTAATAAAAGCTGGCTTTAATGGTTTATATCTATTATCTAATGAAATGTCAACTGTTACAAATTCCAGTGTCAAATGATTATCAATACTTGTATTCTCCTGAAAGAGAAACAATACTGCTTAATGCTGGAACAATCTACGTGCTGTGTTTCTCTTTATCTCCAGCTT